ATATATCAAAAACAAAACCAAACTCACTGCCATCAAGTTGATTCCAACGCATATCGACCCCCCTGGGTTTCTGAGGCAGTAAATCTTTACGAAAGTGGATTGCCCAGTCTTCCTTTTATGGAATGGCTGGTGGGTTTGAACTGCCAGCCTTCTGGTTAGCAGGCAAGTGCCAGAGGCATTATGCCACCAGAGCTCCTATACACACTTACACACACACACGTATGTCTTTCATGTATTAATATGTATATTCCTTATTGACAAGAATTGTATCTTTCATAGTCTTTTGATGGTACCAAACATGCTGAAGGTATTTAATAAACATTACGTCAAAAAATGTCATAACATATTGGGAATTATTCAAAAGAAAGACAGTGTATGGAAACAGAGCAGTAATATTATCTATAAGCAGACATTCCATCTAGCTCCTCTGGGGTAATGGAAAACAAAACATGACTGTGTTTTATGTTATGAAATAGCAACAAGCACCAAACAAGGAAAAATACATAACTAGCATAGGGATATTTTATAACTAAGTCATAAACAATAGTATATGAAGTATAAAATCAATGTTATTGTTGTTATGTGCCATTTGAGTTGGCCCTTAATCATAGTGACTCCTCCTTGGGTTTCTGAGGCAGTATCAATATAGAAGTAGATTGCCTAACCTTTCTTCCAAGAAGTGGCTGGTGGATTTGAACCGCCAGCCTTCTGGTTAGCAGTCAAGTGCCTTAGTTGCAAGTATAGGAGAAACTGTTAGTAGTGAATGAATCCTGCCTCAACAGCAGATAAATCAAGCTCAACTTTTGCTTTAGCACTACATAAAAACCAAAACTAAACTCATTGCCGTTGAGTCAGACCCAACTCATAGTGACCCCTCCTTTGGTTTCCGAGGTGATATCAGTACCAAAGTAGATTGCCCAACCTTCCTTCTGAGGAGTGTTTGGTGGGTTTGAACCATGAGCCTTCTGGTTAGCAGTCAAGGAGAAAATAATGCCAGCCCTGTCAGCCCTCTGAGGCTTCTCTTCTATACAGTCACACACATTCCTCCCTGCCTAATCACACAGCTAGATGCACAACTATGAGTGGGTGAATTTCATCTTTGGTTCCTAATTATGCGAAGTTTTTGTGCTTTTTCTTCCTTAGTGGTAGCACCTCATCTTTGAACCCAGAATTTTCCTATCTCTACTCTTCCTCAAACCAAAGTGTGTTCTTAGGAAAACTTTTTATAAAGTTTTATATTAAGATATAAAAGACTGATAAAATTCAATGTCTTTATTCTCTTAAAGATACAAAAACCAAACCAAACACAACTGCCATCAAGTTGGATCCAACTCATAGCAACCCTCCTTGGGTTTCCAAGGCGGTATCACTATGGAAGCAGATTGCCCAACCTTCTTCCGGGGAGGGATAGAAAATTAAAATTAAGCCAAGAAAATTAGTCTATAATGCCTATCTATTTCAAAAAACAGTCATCACTGAAATTTATTTTCGTGGTAGCAGGAGGGAAATTTTCCAGTCTTTCCAAATTCTCTTGTCACAAAGAGTTAT